GCCCCAGATGTCACCTGCAAGCTATTCAGCATTATTCTACGTTCATTATACCAAAGACTACATTCTCAGAGGATATGATGAGCAGACTGTTCATAGTGAGAGTTAGGTGTTGAGCATTGACACAATGGTGACTCGACTAATTTAAATGAATAAAGCTTGCTCTTAAAGTTACCATGACCCGTAAGAAATTGAGCGACACAGTGATCCACCTCAAGCCATATCCTCGACAACCGTTCGCGAACAGATGGAAAGAATTGGTAAAGATGGCGCCCCTTGGATGATTCATCCCAGCGTTGTTGCCATTCGTCTATGAGGTCATTATAGACATCGGGCTGCTGTTGAAGCAATCTTGTAATTTTACCGCGATCCCGCGCGCATTCCATGTTTTGTTGTCTTGAATAGTACATGGCTGCACGTCTCTGCACCTCGAGATCGACCGGAAGCACACCCGCCAACACCGGCAAAGCCTCAGTGCTAACCGTCCTATATGCCTTACACAAGAATATCAGTGCAAGTCGTTGGCCTTGTAACAGTTGGCGAAGGACAGCGCCTACGGTTGCCCTATCGGCCCATACAGGTGCACCATAGCACATAGAACTTAAATAAGTAGCTCCGTATATGATCTTTAATGTATTAAATGATAGACCCCATGTCGCAGTTGATATCCTTGTCAATGCACAGAAACTCTTTTTAGACTTTTCATTAACTATTTTAATATGTTCGATAAATGAAAAGTTTCTTTCTAAAACTAATCCTAGGTAACACACTGAGGTTTTATTTTTTACAGTATCATTGTCAAATTAATGCTTGGCGGTGATTTGAGGTTACCTTTTAAAAGTAGCTGGAAGGTTTTGTTGGGTGCAAAAGTTAAGCGATTACGTTCACCCCATTGAGATATCAAGTTCAAACATCTATTGGCTGATCTCTCAAGTCCCGCCCTAGTATCAGATTCCACCAGTAATAAGCCGTCATCAGCATACGCGTTCAGAATACATCCGGATGGTATTGGTATCGCAAGAAAATCATCGAAGCCGATATTCCGCAAGTATGGACCTAGCACCGATCCCTGAGGACATCCCATTGTAAGCGCCTTCGACACAGAATGATGACCGAGTCTTAGTTTAGTTGTACCTTGTGAAAAGTACGAAGAGATAAGGGAATAAATATTTTTAAAGCACCCTCGTGATTTTAATTTCAGCAACAGCATGGGCCACCATGCGTTGTCGAAGGCGCCAGATATATCTAAGAAAATAGCCAGCACGTATTGAAATTTTGACTCTGTGACAAACTTTCTAACCGATATAACAGCGTCAGTTGTCGATTTACCCAACGTAAATCCAAATTGTCTATTATGAAATTTGACTCCACCTGGCAGAAGCCGGGGCACTACAAGACGTTCTAAAAGCTTTCCTAACGATGGACGTGTATGTTTGTAAAGTCCTCCGCTACACGTGATGTCTGCTCTGTCAAGAAAGTACCGGGAAAAGATCAATAATACACAAAATGTTTGTTATTCATCCAAATTTATTTTATCACCTTCAAAGTATGCTCCTTCAGAAACGATATACTTACGCCAACGAATAATCCAATCATCAAAACATTTTTTAAACGCTGTTTCCGGAATTGACTTCCGTTCGAATTCGACTTTCGAATTCTCCTTTATGTCTTCTACCGATTGAAAACGGGTGCCACGAAGTGGTAATTTGAGTTTAGGAAAAAGAAAGAAGTCGGCTGGAGCCATATCCGGTGAATATGGTGGTTGCTCGAGGGTATTTGTTGAGTTTTTGGTCAAAAATTCGTTCACAATGATTTTGCGATCGAATCGAATCGATCGAATTTGCCCTTTTAAATGCCGCATAACGCTTAAATAATATTCTTTATTTACCGTTTGACCTTCCGGCAAGAATTCCGACAAGATTCCGAATTGCACAACACCGCGATAGTCAAAGGAAACAGTCAACATGACTTAGACTTTTGATCGACTTTGGCGTGGTTTTTTCGGTTTCGGTTCAGTTGGAAGGCGCCACTCCGAAGCTTGTTGACCAGTTTGCATGTCAAACTCGTAAACCCACGTCTCGTCACCAGTAACAATGCGTTTCATGAATGTTGGGTCGGAATTCACTCGTTCTAGAATGTCCTCAGCGACTCTCATGCTTTTGAGTTTCTGAGAAAATTCTGTTTTTTTTGGGACTAGCCGAGCGGTAACATGTTTCATACATACCGAAATGATTAGTTAAATGGTACGGATCGACTCGTAAGATACAGAAAGTTCGTCAGCTATCTCTCTCAAAGTTGAATGAGGATTTTCAGTCATTATTTCCTTCACTTTTGCGATGTTAGCTTCAGTTGCAGACGTTGATGGCCTACCAGAGTGAGGCAAATCTTCCATCACATCTCGACCGCTTTTGAACGCTTTGTACCACTCATAAGCACGTGTTTTTGATAAAGTCGATTCACCGTTAGCCTTCTGTGACAATTTCAGTGACTCCGAACACGAAACTCCATTGGAGATGCAAACTTTAAGACAAACTCTTAGTTCGATGTTTTTGTCCATTATGAAATTCGCAATACACATTAGATATGATATAACTAAAAACAGCACTGTATTTAATATAAATAATAATAATATATTTTATTGTTCTCTCTCACACAGATATGGTTACAATAAACAATCTTACTCTAGGTTATTTTGAGTGAGTCTGTGTGAGAGACTGGTATCTGTACTAGGTTCGTGGACCTGTTTGACAAATTACCAGCCTCCCCTGGCTCTGGAAAGTTGTAGTGCGTTAAGCAGGTACAACCTGTTTAGGAGTGAGTAGTTATTATTATGTGAAGTGAATGAGAACGCATAGTATGTGAATGTGTGTATATGTGGGTGTGTGTGTAGCGTGTGTGTAGGGGAGTGGGTGTGTAGTGTGGTTTGAGTGTATGTGTGTATTTGTGTGGATCCTAAACTCTAGGGGGACAGCGCATTTCAAGACGGGACCTGTAACAGGCTCTCTGTTTCCTCATAGCTAAGGGACTTTAGCCAGCGAGTGGCAGCGGTTTTGCAACCGTATTTTGTACATGAATATATATGCAATATCTGGTTAACTTTATTGTATATGTATCTACCTAGGCAACCAAAGAATTTGCGAGCAAAGGAGGTAAACCATCTATTGCCCTTATCATTTGCGGAACAGACTTTGTGCATCAGGCGTTTATTTGGGGGTGAGGGATTGTAAGGAAGTAATGCGTGCTGTTTAAGTTTAATGCTCAAGAGATATAGTTGACGCACAGTTAGGACATCCGAGATTTTGTAAAGGTGTCTCGTAGGGTACAAGAAAGGCACGGAAAAGCTCATCTTCAGAACTGCTCTTTGGGCTCTTTCCACCTTCATCAATGAAGTTTTGGAGGCACCCCCCCACACTGATATGCAGTATGATAATATGGGTTGGCATAAGGACATATAAACCATTCTAATGGTGGTTTTATCTGCAATGTGACGCAAGTTTTTTAATAAATATATTAATTTTCGAGTTCTAGAAGATACGAGGTCTAAATGATAATTAAAGCTCAAAGAGCTATCTATTATTACACCGAGATATTTTACGTGGGTTGTACGTTCTAGGTGATTACATGAACAAGAATGGTCGTTTAGGCATGTGTGAGCTATTATAGAGTTTTGTGTAAGTGTGTTTGGTGGTATGTTTTTTATTGCGAATGGTATATACTTGCTTTTATCAACGTTGAGAGTCAGACCATTGATCCTAAGCCATGTTGACACTGCGTTGAACCCCACTTGTGCTGAGTCAAAAGTATCTTTCCAGGTATCACCATGAAAAATCAGTGCGGTGTCGTCAGCGAAGGTTACAATTTTGCCTTTTCTCAGTTGGAGATTGCACAGGTCATTGATGTACGTTAGAAAAAGCGTCGGGCCGAGCACGCTACCCTGTGGAACCCCAAAGTTAAGGGGCAGATCCCCGCTAATTACACCACCAACTCTTACTCTTTGGTATCTTCCGGTAAGATAATCACTAAATAACTTGTATTGTGTATCGCGTATACCAAGTTTTTCCAGTTTGTCCAGTAAGAGTGGGACAGAGACCGTGTCAAACGCTTTAGCTAAGTCGATAAATAATAGATGCAACTCAAACTCAAACGGTTGTGCCAATCTAACAACAACAAAAAAAAAAAAAATGAATTTAGAACCATAAACAAGTCATCCATTCCTGATACTTTTTTGACTGAATGTATTCCTAATGCGGGAGTTGTCTTTTTTTAAAACAGAATATTTTGATGAGAGGTTTTTGACTAAAGGTATCTGATTCAGGCCTCTCTTCCTCGGGTGCCATGGTTCAGTAAGGCCAAGATGTTGTGACGGCTTTAAGGCTCCGAAACTATTGAGCAGCTTTTACTGCTCAATAGTTTCGGATATATCACGCGCAAAGTCAAATTGTGCTCTCTGAGGAGTCATTGAAGATATGCATCATATCCTGACGGAGTGTGCTCGTGTAGGAAAACACAAAGCACAAAGTCGAAAGCTTTTGTTAATAGCTCTAATGTGGGCTTCTATAATAGCGTTCTGGCCTCACCATTGTTAGATGAAGCTAGAAAGCTTATTATATGTATTGAAAAGTGATAATTTCATAGTCAATCACATTAAAATCTTTTTGTCTATTTTTCGAAAAATTCATTTTAAAACAAAAATTTCAATAAAGATCCCAAAAGGTCAATTTTTGAAAAAAATTACTTTGTTTCTGTTGGATAAAAAAAAGTTTTTTTTTTTAAATGTTTTTCAACGGGTATACCTACAAATACCCCATATGGGTATTTTAGAGACATACACAAACTCATTTTATTAATTCGTAAGCATGTAGTTTTATTGGCATGATAATTTTATTTATTTCTCCACTTCTTGACCTATGAGGTATGAAACTCTTTTCTGCATATGACTTCAGACCTTCTTAAAGTGAACTTTAGTTTTAATATTTCATCGATAATTTTCTTGACACACGCTAATGGTGTTTTGTGAACTAGAAGAAGAAAACAGAGATTTATTCAATTTATTCACGTGAGTAATGTATTATTTATTTATATGTATAAACTTAATAATGTAGTGAGGTGACGGGCGAGTATGATTTGCAGGACAAGAAGAGTGCAGAATGTGCAAATGATTGTTAATTATATGGGTTACCTGTAACCTGACAGATCTTGAACTGGATAATTTATATGCGAAACTAGCTGTACTCTGCCAAGTTTCGCTATGGCACATTTTGGTTGCATTGATGAGAAAAAGTGTTGAGTTGTGTACGCTTGAAAAACTACCAATTCTGCACTGATTGCGCTAAAATTTTGACACGCTATACAACGCGCTTCAAGATTTTTTTTATCTATTTTTTGCGTCAGTTTTGTTCCTCATTTCTAATTCATGCATCTACAATATGTCACAGCAAAGTGTGCCGGGGTACAGCTAGTACTGTATAAAAAACCTTGCCATTATACAAATTCTTTAGCATTCGTGCTACGTTATGTAAAATTTAGCAGCATCATAAAGTTGCTATTAGTTCTCTCATTATCAGAATTCCTTTAAAGTAAAGTAACTATAGGATGGGAATGTACAACAGAAGTACACATCTCACATTAATGGCAAATGAAAGCATTGTTAAATGACGTATTTCTGCAGAGTAGTCCAGCAGCAGTCGTTTCCGTCATGAGTAAATCGGTGATGTTTGAAATTGAGACACAACAAGGCCCCAGTTTCCGGGAATCGATCGTGACAAGATACATAGTGGCCGTCTTGGGATCATGGTGTGCTGAACTTGGTGAATAATTTTGTAACTATTGTTTGTAGCGAAATTACAATTTTCACGTAGATATAAAGGTTAACATCTTAGTTCTTTAGAGGAGCTATATCGCGAAGCCACACAGAGAAAATCTATTTGTCAAAATGATATCATATTGATATTATAATTAGTTGCTTAAGTTAGAAATCTCTGCATTTCCTTTAATTTGTTCATGAAAACTTTGTTTTTGTCCCATTTGAATGAACATGAAAAAGCTATTTGGTTCATCAGCATAGCTCCGATTACCTGAAAAGTTTTAGCAATGCTACAAAAATAAGTGTTTTTTTCGAAAATTCATCTGCTACGCTATACATCATGATTTTTTTATTTATTCAGGACACTAGGTAACAATTCATATTAACCACAGAACAGTGAATAAACTAGAAACGCGATGTAGGACGGGTAGGCGCGCCGGTGTTACGAGCCAACGAGCTTGAATCTCTGAAAACATTTGTACTCGTGTATTCATTTAGAAACGAAGCTCTATAAGAAATTATCGCTCGAATTATATGTCGAAAACGAAGCCAGGACTCGAATTTGTCCATCGGCAACAAGTCTAAAAACTTTGTTTTTAAGTAATATTGTCAAAAAATCACATTTTATTTGATTTTTAGACTCTTTTTTATAAGTTTGTGTGAATATTTTACTTTCATGATACAATCTTATTTTTACCTATGTATAAATAATGGCATTTAATAGTAAAAGTGAATGATCAACTTGTACTGATAATAAATAATCCCCAGGGTGTATTGCAAATTCTTTTAATATTTTAAAATACAAATAAAAAAAAATATATGTATATATATTTTTTTTGTTTTTTATATTTTTTTATTTATATTTATTTACTTTTTTATTTTATATATATATTTTTTTGTACAATTGTTATTTATATTTGATAATTAATTAAGAAAAATGAATGAATGAATTAATTAATTCTTTTATAGAAAAGTCTCCAGCACTGCGAGCTTGGCAGAAGGTGAACGTTCAACGGGTCCCTAAAAAAAGTGATCGATTCTGCCCTATTAACTATCGTTCTTCCTATATTTTATTATTATTGACAAAATGTTTAAAAACAGTATAAAGCATATTATTTCATAAATTATAAATTCTCCCACTAATGTGGGAAAACAAAAATGATTTTTTAATGGTAACACTGATTCTAAATTACAATTATCAATGTTTTATTTCAATTATAGCCTTATTTACGATATTATCAATACAAAAACCATAAACTTACACGTGATAAGTAATTCCGCATGATTTATTATGGTTTTGTGACCTTGAATCGCATTCTTTCACTACGCATTTACCCATTTTGGCGATTGTTACTGTCATGTGTCGCTATGTTCAACTCCGTTGACGCCACATTGAACACTGAATTGACGTTTGCTACGCATATGTCTGTGGACAGATGTGCAGTAGCAACGATTTAGGCGGTAATTACTCATCTATGTAAGTATTATATCAATGTGTAATACAAGATAGAAAACCGTTATATCTAATCTATTAAAACAATCATACATTGCGTACCAAATTTGAGTACTAACTACGAGAGCACGCAATGATTTGCATTTCTTGCAGGAATATTTCTATACATCTTGCACGAAAATATTTAGTAAAGTCACCGTTCATATTTGATTGCGATAGTGAAGTAGCCAATCTTATAATTCTGATCATAGTTATTGATAATTGGTTTTTACAATGATTTTCTGTTTAGTACACTGTTTTTTATTTGTATTACGATTTTTAACCGACAGCAAAAGGAGGAGGCGTTTGAAATATTTGTACACTATCGTCTAACACAAATTCATTACATAAATTTATTATTTTTGTTATCAAAGTTTGTAAAGTTACTGAGTTGTAATCCGAGTGCAAACTGACAAACGAAGGTGACTTAATAAAAATCGGATACTTAGTCTTACACCAGTTAGTAGATAGTAACATATTTAATGAAATAAGCTTTCATCAAATAGGTGAATACCCATCATCAAATCATTTATCCTACTTAATAAAATGCATTATTGAAAAATACATAAATATTCAAATACATTTTTTATTTCGAAAAATTACAATGTACAAGAAGACAAAACGGCTATTCTACAATAAATAACTACATTTTATTTCAGGTTCAATAAATATTTTAAATACAATATTTTTCCAACATATTTTTTAATTTTGTTTTATAGTTATTGAATATATAACATTGTATTTTGTATTAAAAGAGTAGTACTATTTTACAATAAAATGTTCATTAATAGTAATGTGCGACATCAGAGTATCAGTCAAATAAATAATTTACTTGAAAGTTATTCTCGTAGTTTTTTTCGATAAACGGTAGTACAACATCACTACGGTGTCTTGCCGAACCGCCCCTGAAAAAATAAGGATCGCGTGAGTAAGGTTGTATTTAGTAACATTATAAGTGGCGTTTAGGATTTATATTTAATAAATCCTGTGTGACGAATATTATTTATCGTTAATGTGTGCCTCTAGGCGACATCGGAACTCTTCTAAATTAACGTTGATCGCACTTCTAATGTTTAGTGAATGCTTAGTTTAGAAGAAAACCACAGGTGGTTTATCATCACTGCCATCACTCGCATTTGGGAACCGATTTCATTAATTCCTTTTCTTTATCGAATTGTTTCTCGAAAATTTGGTTGTCTCGAAAGTATTCTATCTCTAATATTCAATGGAAAGAGTTAATACAGCTGTAGTTGGTGGTACTTCAAAAAAAATCCATCATTTGGCAAATTGGTATTGTCACTAAGACCAGGCAAAAAAGAAACACAAAAAAGTATAAGGACTATAAAAGAATAAAAAATATTTGTAGGAAACGATTTCTTTTAATCCAACTAACAGTGATGTTTCTATTTATTTTCAGCAACATATCCATTTGACTTGGCAAAGACAAGACTACAAATACAAAACGAAGTGGCTGCTACCAAACATGGGATGAAGGTAAATATTAGGTAATTTTTAGGGGAATTATACCATACGCAGCGGCGGATTAACCCTAAGGCAAAGTAGACACGTGCCTGAGGGCACGCGCGCAGATTTTTTTACAAAGAAAAAATATATGCCTAACATAAAAAGAATCGTGTCAGTAATATGCACATACTTACACAATAAAAAAAAATCCTTAATTCTAAAGATATGCTTAAGGTTGACATTTAGGATTTATATTTCGTACTACCATTACTACGCCACTACTACTTTGCTTTCATTTTATGATACCTATTCTAGTGTGTATACAGGGAATAGACTTAAAAAATCTTTTCAAAATCTTTTCTGCGCACGTCTGTTACCAGCAGTCGATCGCTAGGAGTGAATCGAGTTGCGCCTGTCAATGCAGAGCAGTTTGAACTCGGCTCAGGACACACACTGGTCAACGTACCAGCCTTTACACGCTCTATGGCTGGCGTGCCTTCCAGCGCCTCATGCCGCCCTGAGTGTGGTCACAGGTGGCCAGGTTTCGGCGCGCCTAGCCGCAAGGAAAGTCTCTAATGGTCGAATGCAGTGAGGACTCGCAACAGCACAAGCTGGCGGTGTACTCGGAGAGGATCAATAATCGGATACCGACTGTCATACGTTTTATGGCTGGTAGCGACTAGTAATGGGCATTAATGCTAATAAGATTTAATTTATTTAATTGCGAATTCTTATGTCTTAGTATGTTAATTGCTAATGCTAATAGTATTTGCTAATATTGCAATTTCGTTCGAGGTGAGCAAATTAAAAATGATCGTAACTTGAAGGTAGGTTTAACTTATTTTTATTATAATTTAACTCTAACTTTTATTTTAATTTCTCCAACATTATTACAGAAATAATGCAATACAGAGTTGGTTCGCGATATGCTAGCCTTCGTCAATTCGTTACTTAACACTATTATACTTAATTTAAAAAAATATCCCATTCTATTCACAAAATACCTATTTTCAAAGCAAACGACACCCATCAAAACTTAAATTACCTATCCTAGCATCTCCTAGCATCCTTTAAAAAGAACAATTTGCTCGTCGCCATTTAGTACCGACTTTTATTAGGTTACTGCAGTATAATGACCGAATTACCTTTTTAACACACAAATTGGTTTTTGGATGTATTATATTTATGAAAAAATTATGAAAAAATCATGTCAATGTCAAAATACAACGTCTAATGTATTTACCATTGGAGTAGCCAATCAGGTTGTTCATTCATTTGTCCGGAGTAAGGGGTCAAAAATGGAACGTCACCCAACTACAGGTAACTAAATTACTTCCCTTTCGGGAGCACAAAGGGAACACAGGAGAGGTTATCTACATGCAGTGGGTGGCCCGAGGTACGTCGGGGTACCAGGGATTTCCTTTCTAGGGTACACCTGGTTCCCCGGCTACTGTTTTTAAAATGTTTTCTTCTTTCAAAATGTTTTATTGCTTGTCTCATATTTCCTTAATGCTTTTGAACACGATAGTTTCGTTCGATGTAGAATGTAATACGTGTTATGTTCTTACCGTAACTGTTTTAGATGGAAAACCGGGGCATGGTCTTAACAGCTATTCATATATTCACGCATGAAGGCCCTTTTAAACTGTACAGCGGTATGTTACCGATGTGCCACCGTCATGTTATTTACTCTGGAACTCGTCTAGTACTCTATGAGCGGGCAAGAAAGGTGTTGAAGGATGAAACTGGCAGAATGACACTTTTCAGAACAGCGATCAGTAAGACTGTCATTATTTATTATTTAGATCAAAGGTTAATCGAACAAAGCGTGATTAATGGTTAAAAAATTTAATGAAGGCACTTTTTGGGTTGCCGTTTCCCAAAATATAAAAATTTACTTTATAGCCTCACTTTGATGTCTGAATTAATTTATTGATATAAGGCAAGGTCTATCAGCACAAAGAAAGGAAGTCTTACTGTTAATTACCTAAGTTATTAGAACCATAAAGATTTTTAATAGGAAAACTAGCAAACATTTTTGAAGGTTGCGTTTCTGTTCTTTTACCGCAACGTTGTTTTTCCGTCTTCCATTTAGCAAAAGTTGAGAAATAGTGACAAGCAGAGGCAACGAGCAACTGCAACCAACCACGACCAACTAAGAAAGATGTTTAGTTTCTATGCCTGAATAGGTGGCGCGACTTGTGGTGCAATAGCTCAACTGATGGCGTCTCCCGCCGACCTCGTGAAAGTGCAAATGCAGGCTGAGGGACGCCGAATACTGCAGGGACAACCACCTCGGTTCAAAGGTTGTTTAGAGGTGTATAGAATGGTTTATCAACAAAGTGGTATTCTGGGATTTTGGAGAGGTAAGATAATTTAAGAAAGTACGTTTTACTATTATTACCTGGATGACTTTGCTTGGTCATCCAGGTATTCATTTTTAGTATTGACTTAAAGAATATACTCGATAATAAATTTAACAATAAAAAACTGGAATACAATCTACGAAGTACGTACCTATTTTAAAATAAATGTTGTACTCGTATTGCCTGACTAATGGAAATCAATCGGCTTAGGAAGTTTGATCAGACAAAAGTGATCAAACTTCTTTATCACCGGAATATTATTGTTAATATTTTAAGAATGATAATTAAATAATATCCTTATAATTAATTAAATATCATGTAAATGAAAGCAGGGTTAAGCTGAAAATAAACTCACTGAACCGACAACCGTTGGGGAAAACGCACTCAAATAAAATGAGAAAATTAGCAGTATACACATTGAAATATAAAGGTAGGGAAGTAAGAAGGGAATACGTATAAAACGATAGTGTTAGTCATAGCTCTAGCAGGGTCGCAGACCTGTGACTCGACCTGTCCAACATAGTTAGTTTAAGGGAGATAAAAATCAATTCCTTTAGCTTGCTTTATGAAGGTAGTAGGATTTGTAAGGATGTACACTAAAAATTTTGCATAACTGCGCACATCTCCATCTTATCCATTATTAGAGTGAAAATAAAAGATGGTTTTAAGGATGATAATAATTAGTAGGATGATAGTAAGTAAAGTCCAAAAAGCGTGCTTTTTGTGCCAGATATAAAGATTCGTTTTAATATGCATTGTTACGGCACAAAATTAAAACTAACTTCACGTTAATTACGTTCGAGTCAACAAATTTTGCTTCTACTGTACCATATAAAATTATTGCAAAGGACATAATTTTTGAAATACAATTGTCCTTGGTACTACGCTGTCCAACAGGGACACCTACTAACCAAAACATTAATAATAGGTGCGGTGCCGAACATGCAGCGTGCAGCAATGGTTAACATCGGTGATTTGGCTGCGTACGACTACGCTAAACGATTTCTAATGCACGAGTTTGAAATGAACGACAGCACGCTTGTTCACACACTGGCAGCCTTTGTAGCCGGTTTCGTTGCTGCGGTCCTAGGTACCCCCGCGGATTTTATTAAGACTCGCCTTATGAATCAGCCCGTGGGACCAGACGGAAAGTATGCTCTACTTTTTATTAACTTTTATGCCTATACGTTATTACTCTAAATTGAGTACTACTACTAGGTTTATTTTGCAGATGAAAGTCGCATTCTTGGCAAAATGTTCTATTGTTCGATCCGGGACTTGACAACTTTTCAAACAAAGTTTTAAACGTTTCATGTTCGTTCTCTGGCTGAATCGGGTTAGCGGGATGGCCCATGGGCGCATCTTGCCCCTAACCATACGATAGGGGCACTCCCACGGGTCCCGATCCAGTGTCTTCAGCAAGTCGCGGCGGGCCTCGCTTTTGGCCTGGCGCTACAGGGTCCTCTTGGCAATCCGCTAATCCCCGCGTCTCGGCCTGCCGCATCTTCATGGCAGTGCCGCACCTCGCCCACTCGTGGATTCCTCATTACAAGTTTCGCAATTACACGGAGCGAAACCCCTTTAATAAATAAGTGTTTTTTTTATTTACGTCATTACTTGATGTTGGGTGTAAGGGGATGACCCACCATCTTTCACCCCAAGCCAACCTCATCTGCACGCGGTACATCCTCGACGAGGCTCTAGCGACCGACCAATGGATGTTTATCCACCCCCAGGCCGGTGACGGGTAACAGCGACACCGGTGCGACAAGCTACGCCCTGCGATCACTAACGGTACCCGAAGATGGTGCCCGCGCCATTGCGGGCAGGCGCTAGGAGGGGTCCGAATGTCTTAATAATAGCAGTTTCCGGATCTCTCCTATTACAGGCGCAGAGTGGCACACCGTGTGGTTTTAGTCGGTCTGATTCCAACACACCACCCCGCCGTAAACCCCGGTGGGGTTACGGCTCGAGGGGGTTTCCACACGTAAAAAAATGGCTTCAATACTAAAATTTGCTTGCATTTTGAATACAGATATTCAATATAACATCAGTAGCTATTAATAACACGAATGCTCGTAATTAAGTTCACTAACCAATGTGAAAAGTTTAGGGTATTTTTGGAACAATAAAATAGTTTATTGTTTTCAAATCTACTTTCAAATTTTAGTGACTACTAGTTTAAAATATTGAATCAAAGATTTATATTCTTCGACGTTCGTTTCAACACTGCACTCATAACTACATTCCACGAATTTATTTATTAACATCGGCCTACGGTAAATGGATAAAACTTTGGATAAAACCAAGGTCATGTACAATGAACATGTACTACCGGACCGGACCGGAAGTTGTTCAAAAATATGTCTACCTCGGGCAGATATTGCAGTTAGGTAGAAACAACTTCGAAGACGAGGTGAATAGGACAATTCAGTTGGGCTGGGTAGCATTTGGGAAGCTATGTCGAGTCTCAATCATACAGTGCTATTGGAAAGGTCTATGTCCAGCAGTGGACTGCGTATTGCAGCATATGGTCAGCCTGTATTTCTTCCTGGGACTTCCCGAGTGTCATAACTCGGTGTGTTCGTGGGTCACTGCTGTGGATCCTGGTGTACAGGAGTTACAGTGGTGGGCATGTGGGCGGGGTTAGTCCCAAAAAATATGGTCAGCCTATGCTGACCATATGCTGCCATAAATATTGGCAAGATTACAAAAAAGAAAAGATGACGAAAGATATCTTTAATAAATTATAGTACCTATCTATTTATTATTATGTAGTCTACCATACGCTTGTAATAATTTCTGATTAATAAAAAATAATAATAATAATTTAATAATTTGCTTTTGTTTACAGAGGTGCACTCTACAGGGGCACTTTAGACTGTGCCAAACAAGCAATTCACAAACGAAGGCCTTTTAGCCATTTACAAGGGGTTTGTGCCTATGTGGGTTAGACTAGGGCCCTGGTCATTGGTGAACTGGGTTGCCTTCGAAAAAATAATGTACTTTATGGGGGGGAAATCATTTTAAGTTCCAAAAATCTTGTCACAAATGTGTATGTCGCTTACATTATCATGTAGTATTCAGTACATATTTGTTTTTGAAGCGGTGCAATATCTATTATAAAAACTTTAAGATTATTATTATTGTAAATTATCTTTGTATAAATATAATATGTTATGTTGCCTATAAATACATTTGTGATAGGTAGTCCGAAAATAAGTAACTAGGTACATACTAGAGTAATTATTAGAGTATTACCTAATTCGTATCTATAACTTATTCAAATATGAAGCAGCGGAAATAAGCAAAACTAAGGACGCGCTGGCGACAGACATCATCATCTGTCTGTTTGCATCAACTCTTGTCTGTACACAATCGCGTGTCGCCAGTTGCACACTCTTGGAAGACAATGATATTGTTCACATAAAAAAGACAAATTTCTTACCGAGGATTGATCAAATATGAATCCTAAACGCCATTCATAATTATGCCTTCTAAATTCCGTTCTTACACTAACACTCAAAAGCTAGCACTTCGTGTAAATACTTGTAATCTTTTTAAACTAATAGGAAGCTGTCAGTGTGCATTATGATAATTACCAAATATTTTCATGCAAAATGTATATAAATTGTCGTAAGTAATGTTCATTCTGCATTCTCATATCCAAATTGAGTTAGCAACCAAACACGATACGCAATATACAATAATTTTAGTACAACATACGATAATAAGAATTCCCTTTCTCAATTACAAATGTTTTATTTATTATTTATCCATTGGTAAATTCACAATTCAATTTCACTTAACTATGAAAATGTTATAGTGGCATAAGCAGATATTATTATATACAAGACACTATCTACAGAAATAATTTAGAGGTATTAAAAAGGCACGTGATCGGCACTATATGATACCAGACTTTAGATAAGCAATTTACTTTAATGTCATTTATAGTCTTAGTTAATGTGTAATAAATATTTTTAATTACCTATTTATTTGCAATTTTTATTACTTATTTAATATACCTGTAAGCCATTATCGCCAAATAAATACATGGCAACCAGCGTATCGACGGGTTTATCGATCATTTCCTTTAAATTGCAAAATGAATGTAGGTAGCGTTTTTTCTTTGTATTATAGTCTGTAAAATATAGCTTCAACCCGCTGACAGTTGGAAGCAAATCCGACGAAATAACTTTGAACCGACGTCTTAAAGGCACTTTCGTTGCACAACACCAGCAATCTCGATTTTTCACAATTAATAATGGACAAACAATGCTAAATATTTTTTATTAATAAATAGTACCTAGCTCTTGCCTAGAATAAAAACATTAAACTTATTTTCCTACACATTAAAATTATTAATAAATTTATGATTACGCGCCTACAAGTTATGTCAATGGTACGATAAACTAGGGATGAGATGAATCGATTAGCTATAAAATAAGCTAGAAAATCTAAAATTTGATTATTTTGATATAATATATAACTATAATCTATAACTAATTATGTCTTTCAGTTTTGGTTTTCCTTTACCGTTAGCTTAAATCTTGTATTTATATGAAGATAACTTATGTTCTGTAACCGATTGAGATTGATTAAGTTCCATTAATACATTCATTATGAAGAAAATTATAAAGGTATGAAATTTGACATACAAAATAATGTTGAATATGGCCTTCCGGTAGCTGATGCACATAGCATAGTACGAGCTTTAGTGAGTCTGTTTGTTAAAACAAAAATAAAGATAAAAATCGTCCACGCATTGATGAATTTAAAGTGTCTACACTACGAAATCACATTTACGCGTACTGTGCTCGAAAAGAGTCGCCAACCTTAAGTTAAAATGAATAATATGAAAAGAAACGAGTATAGATATTTCAGCGTAGAATTTGTAAAGCTTCTACGCTTACACAAGTACACTTTCATTTAAAGAATATATGAATATGAGCTCAAATTTCCTTACATCAAATGACGAAAGAACTGATGTATCGCTGTTAGAACAATTTACGTCAACTCAAGACAAAGAAGATGAAGAAAGAGCAAAACAAGAACGAGAAGGACAAAAAGTTGAATGAGAAGACGCTTTAACCTCATCAACAGCCTATAATAGTCCACTGCTTGAAATAAGCCTCTCCTTAGAAAGGAGGTTTTGGCTTGCTATACCACGCTGGCCAGACGGGTTGGTATAGGGTTTGTTTCAAGTTTTCCTTCTGTTTACAGTGCTATTGTTCTGCGTAGTTTGCTCCCTTAGTTGGCTCTTACAACACCCACGAGAGGAATAGGGGTGGTGACACTTTGTATTTTAAATCCGCCACCACACGGACAGTCCTTTAACCTATTAAAATTAAATAAAACAGACCGTGGAGTACTGGGGAAGCTACGTTAAAAAAAGCCTTAAATACACTACCTCATAGATCGCTGGAAACGTGGGCATATATATGGGAATCGATAGGAACTTTCCACAATTTTATTATAATGGTATCCCTAACGTTTTACATAAAAAACAGCTTTTTGGGAATTTTTTGAAAAGTATTTTTCGGGATACCTTGACCGGACTACTGATATAATATAGCTTTGAAATATTTTTCGAAAATATTTTTTTCAATAAATTAATAAAAAACCTTATGTAGGATAACGTTGCTTTTTTGAATGAAACGTGGCTCAACGCCAACCACACTGTCTCCAAGTCATAGACACATGACAGGGCTGAGCCAACCATTACAGTGCCTTAAGATAAATGACAAAGGCATAAACGAAATAATGGTGAATGGTTTGCAAAATAAAGAAGTCCAAGTCAACGAGGTTATTGTTTAAAGGAGAACTACTAAAATTGGTTAACATCCTCAAGCTCAGAACTCCAACATATATTTTGGATGAAATAGGCATGAAATGGGCCACACAGTGATCCGTCTACCACCACATTGCCAATTGTTTGTGTTATTATTTATAGCATAGTAGTAAGCTGTTTCTATATCTCCCCACACGTCATAATTAATATTCAGTTACCGTACTATGTTGGGTTATGGACATCTATGCGTCACTAACATTAAGTGTTTTGAAAGCATATTGTGCCAATATTTCGCACTACTATTAAAAACATATAAATTTTTCAAGTTTTCTATTCAATAAAGAATATAAGATAGGTAATTATTTTCTCTTTTTACTAGTCACGCAGCCAAACATAATATGACACCACCATTTTCAGTGAATAAAATATTTACACTATTTTAACACACGTTTGTTTAATAATGTAACGGGGGAAAGGTTGCAGAGAGAACCAAAATAATTGTCCAGTAAGATTAGGCACAAAAAGTGCAGTTCGATTTAGTTTGTGATCAAGAACTTTTAATAATAATCTGCAGGATTTTTCCAGCGACGATGACTGAAGAAGATGAGTTAGGTTTAACGATATCAGAACAAAATTTTTAAAATACTTATTTGTTATTTACTTATTTTATTATATAGGAACAAAAACATTCAACAAAATATCATCAATCGATTACAGTCCATACACTGATTGATTTAACCAATTATGTCATATCACTACCCAACTAGCAAAATATATCGTAAAAATGCCAGCAGCACGTTTCTATTTTAGCTATTGGTGGTGAGATGGATCTTCAAAATGTCGAGTAAATGATCTGTGCACATTCTCTCAACGCGATTTGGGCGCACTTCTCTCTGCTTTAAGTGATTTAAATATCGTAAGATTATCGTCTGAATAGCCAAATAGTCGAAAGAATATAGAGTAATCGCAACTCGAAAGTTACTAGTATTATATTAATCATCGGTATGCCATTTTTCAACACATTAGCTTTTCCCAAGTCGGTGGAAGGTCTTTCATTCGACAAACTTATTGTAATATAGCAGTGCGGTTGCAATCACTCGACTCTTTGATCGTGTGAATGCAACCAAGCAGCATTCATAGATCATTTTATTTATCATCAAACCGGTACGATCAGTGTTTGTGAAAAGAAATAAAACAATTAATGAAGTGTTAAATTTTGCCATATATTATTTGTGCCATACATTTTTACAGTCATATTGACATTCGTGACCTAAAGTTAGCTCAAAGGTGCTACTTTCATATGCGGGGTTAAATTTTTCGTCTATAATCCTTACATTTTAGTTAATATTTTCATGGGCCGTAAGATTCCTTAGTAAATAATGAATTACAAATAATATTAATTTAATAGTTTAATCTAATTCGCCATTAATAGCAATTCACTTATCATCACAAAGCATTCACTCGGTTTGTAGCTGAGAAATAGAAATGAGGTATCAACTTTACGACTTCTAGGACCGCCATAATTGCAGTTAGTTTGGGGTTCCTTAGCGTAAAATGTTAAATCCTTAATATTAGATCAAATTAATACTGTTATTATTACTCCAGAGGAATTTAAAAGAAAATTAAACACAAACAAAATATTTTACTTAGTGATTTTTATTAAATGAGTGACTTTTTAAAATATTTCTTCGAGGATCTTTTGGCAGTAAATTAGGAATCCTTTTATTAAAAATTGTTGTCAATTTTCTTAAGGCATCATGAGTAATGTTGAATTGAAGCGCCCACTCTTTATAATTAAAACGAAACTCATCATTTAAATTTTCACTGTCCTCGGACTCTGAATTATAATTGTCGTTATCACTACTATCAGAATCAGAGTCTTGATCAGCGGAGATATTTTCGAAATTAGATCACACTTCAGCTGACGGTTCACAAATTTCATAATCAGTAGATGTGTAAATATTCCCTACAGAACCCGCACTTGTATTATTTGATCGCTCTTGATCTGTGGTTACTGCCAATGTAGATGTTGATTGTTTCAATCGTGTATAAATCTTGTTTACTTTCCGTCGGCACCCTCCGCTTCTTTTAATTTTTTTCCACCGATTATAATCTATTTTCACAAAATAAAGCAATACGGTTGTTGTTGTAACAAAATGG